TCTGGTCCCCGGATGTTTGTCATTTTGTTTATGCGAAACAAAAACGCGCATCTGGTCCAAAGAAAAGATCGTTGGGAACGCTCATTTTTCCCAGTAATCGCGCAGGTTTAATGATGAGTTTTGAACACGCAGATATACGGGACCTACATTTTAACGCCGGTTCCGATAACGGCCATTTTTTAAGAAGAGGTTCTCTTTGGCAAAGATACTCTCAATGGTTTGCCATTGCCTTCCGAGAGGCGGCGATCGCTTCCGAATTGATTAAAATCAATTTCAGAATTATATTATTCTGGGTGGATTTGAACCCGGATCTTTAGCTTATAAAGCTGCCGCGCTGCTCCTCGCGCCACGATCGTCACACATTGAACACATAAAGTTATTAAAATGATCAGTAGAATCATAGTGAAGCAAAAACTTGGCCATATGTCATTCAAAGTTCTTATAAAATCATTAGCAAAATAATAAAATAGCATACACGCCGCATCGCGCCGCACCGAGCGCGCGTCGCCCTTGATTCAAGCGTAACCTAGAGCGCTCATTCGTTAGCTTAAAATTGCTCTCATTTAAAAATTATTGTTTAGACACAATTTTGCCAGAGGAAAAAGTTACTTATTTTGATACGAATAATCACGCAGTATATTCCGGGTCCGCGAATTCTGGGACATCCTGTATATATATGTATATGTAATTTCTTTGAAATCTATTTTATGTATATAATAATATCTTGAACCTGATCGATGGGGAAATCATAGGAGTTCCTCGGCTAACTGGCAATGTTACTGGCGGATATAAATTGGCAACTTGCGGCTGTAAACCACAGTTGTAAAGCCTTCCAATTCCTTGAAAAATTGTATTATTGTATTGTTCATTGCGTCGAGTCAATAAAATGTTCGTAATATCTGGATGTAAGAATTCTTCCAAAACTTGCTGCAGAACGCTGTCTGGTGCGATCTCGATGGTCACTGCGTCACTTGGAATTAAATATCTTGCTTGATCAAAGAAAACAGTGTTTAGTATACTATATGTATGATATTCAGCCGACGATAATTTTGATGCTGAAATATGCCATTCGGCACGGGGTATGGAAGTGCTGATCCATTTTGGACTTCGTTTTTTCGGACGTGATATTATTTTGTTCAAATTGGACAAGAGCTGAGATTTCAAGGATGTGAGGTAAGAACCGTGATATGGCACGTTACAGTGGATCTCTTTCACGTAAATGTTATTAACCTGATAATTCAAAAATATTAGTAAGAAAATTCTTGTGTGATAAATTTTGGCACAAATTTAAAAATTAAATATTTTAAATTAGTTTGTTAAACCAAGTTTTCGACTTATAATATATAATAGCTGTTCACCTTTACCTGTAATTTTTTAATAAATTCTTGAACGGATTGTGTGGGTCCACACACAATGCTACTGCTTTCGCTATTGCGACATACTATTTCAATATCCGTTGGACATATATTTTTAAGACATTCGTAATCAAAATTGACAATTGCCATAGAGCTACGAATTAATTTTGTGTCGGCACACGCCAAACCAATAAAGTATGCTGATAAAATAGATCGGAAGAGCACA